TTTTTTTTTTAAAAAAAAATCTGTTCAACTGTGTTCAATTTTTGGAAACTGTCAGGAAAAGTCCCTGCAAACGCAAGTTTGTGTTCGTGGCAATATTTTTCAGAAGTGGTTTTCCACCGCTTCCTTTCTAGAGCTAAGAGAAAGAGACTAGCCCAAGATCACCCAGCTGGCTTCGTGCCCAGGCAGGACTATAACTCATAATCTCCTGGTTTCTAGTGTGATGCTTTAACCTCTATATACCAAATTGCCTCTCTTTACATTAAGTTAAAATAAGGTAAATGCATTTCTGGCAGATGGATTGATGGATGGATAGGCAAGTAGGTGACAGAAAGCCAGACAGACACATGGAAATCTGACATATGCACACATTTATTATGTGTATGGAATCTTTAAAATACCAGTTCCCAAAGGCTCTGCTCCCCCTTTGCTAATGGAAAGAGGAGGCCCAGCAATACCAGCTCAATTGAAATGATCCGGAATGGTAATTTCTGAAAAGTCTTGTTCGTGCTTCGTCTTTCTCAGTGGAAAAGAGTGCAAGGAAGAGAAACTAGAGTGTATGAGAGACTGTAGCTCTGCCCATTTAGTTTGGGTCTTACCTATTTTGAATATATAGATACTCAGGAACTTAATTTGCAATCTAATCAACCAAGGAGCGGATCAAAAAGCTTTCTGAAGGAATTTATGAAGTCTGTTCTCAGCACATATACCTTATTGGCCAATGACAGGCATGGCCGGAGATCCCGCTCAGGCCTTTCCAGTTTGACAATGGAGACAAATCCTGGAACAGTATGTTCATCCTCGCTGGTATTACACAAAGACAGGGGGTGGAACTGTGAAGAGAAAGGAAGGGAAAGTTACTACTGATGTATCATAAGGACAATTATAAAATCATAGGGCTCGAAGGGATCTCCGAGGTCTTCTAGTCCAATTCTCTGGTCAAAGCAGGAGTCTTATACCATCCCAATCAAATGACTGTCCAGTCTGTTCTTGAAAACCTCCAGTGATTGAGTACCCACAACCCTGGAGGCAAGCGATTCCATTGATTAATTGCTCTCACTGTCAGAAAATTCCCCCTTTCTTCTAGATTGAATCTCTTTGATAAGGTTCCACCTATTGCTTCTTGTTTTGCCCTCTGGTGTCCTAGAGAATAAGTCAATCCTCTCTTCTTTGTGACAGCCCCTCAAGTACTGGAAGACAGCTATCATGTCCCCCTAATCCTTCTCTTCAATTGGCTAGACATTTCTAGCTCCCTCAGCTGCTTGCCCTACCATTTAGCCTCCAAACCCTTTATCATTTCTGTTGCTCTTCTCTACATGTTTTCCAGTCTCAACGTCTTTTTTGTATTGTGATATAATGATTGTATAATATAATGAGGGGGATATAATGTAATTGGCTTATATTGTAATTGGCTTATATTGTAACACTGCATTATTGAGGAAGGACTGCAGATCAACACTTGATGTGCAACTAACATACAGGGTAAAGTGCTACAGTAAAACACAAAACCAGTTTCAGACAAACATTTACACTTTTTCATTATCATTGAGTTTAGCCATTCTTCCATTTTTTTAGACACAAGCTTAAGAAAAATGTTAAAATATCTTCTGGATGGCCTCTTTAACTCATAATCTATCATGATTCACAATCTATGCATTACAGCTCAGTTATCATGTTTGTTGGGAATTCTGAGGATCTGTCGACTCAATACACCCAATGAGCACATATTACAAGGTGCTCTGCAGTGGACAATCTGGTGTTTGATCAAGAGGTTAAAAAAAAAATACCCTGTGCTCTACATACAGTTACCCTTGAGTATCTTTTAGTAGCTGCCACCACTACAAAAATATTGCTGCATTATTTGTTAATATGGTAGAAGGTTTCCAGGAATGCATGGGACTTTTCTTATTTCATTGTACCACTAATCAGTTTGCTTCTTAGTCCAGTTAAAGATTATCTAGCAAAGGTCCCGGCTAAAATTGGGTATGAATTAGTCACTCACAAAGACACTGTCTCTAAATTGTTTGTCTAGGTTTAAATCTTAGCTTTCATTTAGCAAGTCCCATTTTTAAAGATACCTTCATAATTAATGTCAAAAACTCCAAGGAAAACAAACAGGACTGAAAGAAGGAACCATTCCTGTTTAGAATAGAAAGCTGGCAGCAAGGAAAGGATTATTCTTGCAAGATTACAGTTGCTCCATAAACACAGAGAGGTGTTTCCTTTGAATTCAAAATGCCCTGAAGCTTTGTTCATGCGATCTTGAATCACACAAACATTTATAAATACAACATAGATGCATATAAGTGTAAGAAAAATAATTTACTTTCATTCACAAGGATTTCCTTTTGGAATTTCAATGGATGATTGTTCCATAAAAAACATAAGAGAGCCTTTCTGAATCAAAGCAATGTTCACCAGCATTTCCAAGTCATCCAGTGTCTGATTTAGGAAGCATGCAAAATAAGGATACACCCTTTTCCACCTTTTTGGTCCTGTTTTCAGTTCTACAATGCTTTTTGAAGTATGGTAGCTATTTCGCTTGGGTTCCACCACAAAACCGCGGTCGACAAAAGCGCGTATGTGACGTCATCACAGCGCGACGAAAAAGATCGAAAAATGTAAAAATAAAGCGAAAACCTTACCCTAACCCCCCACCTAACCCTAAACCTAACCCTAAACCTAACCCTTAACCTAACCCTTAACCTCGTCGCGTTGTGATGACGTCACATACGCGATTTCGTCGACCGCGCTTTTGTGGAACACGGTTTTGACGGGTCACGTTTCGCTTGTACTCAGATTGTTATAAACTGGCAAGTTTCTCCACAGAGCCCAAGCTGTTACCATTGTGGATGTCAAATGGAGGAATTGCTTAGAATCTTGCCAGAGAGAGAAAGATAGAGTGCGTTATTGGGAAGTTGCTCCATCTCCAATACCATTTAGTTGCTTCCAAAGGGTATGGTCTACTTAAAAAGAGCCCTGTCTAATGGCTGGGATGGGAATTGGGGTAGAATGTTCCAATCACAAAACTGAGCTTAAAAAATAATAATAAAGGGACTAATTGATCAGTCAACTTCAAGTAATGTGAAATTACTTTAAGAAAACCTTTGCAACTGGATGATAAAGGGCAATTAAACAACAAAAAATGGCCACCTAATGGAGGAGGTTGTTCTGTCAACTGGCATAAACCCTTATTCAGTTGGTCAAGGGAAAGGCTTATGGCTAATGTAATGCCTGTTCTTCTAAGGAAAGAATGGCCATCTGCGCTGTTGCATCTGTTGTCTGATAGACCAAAGGTGAGCTCACACCTGCTGCCAGCTTTGGCAAAGGATCAAGGGAGAATTTCATTGAAAGTCTGATAGCATCTCTCTCTCCCCCCCCCCCTTTATACACACTGGTTAAAAGAAAGCTGGCACGCCTATTTTACACAGCAGCTTCTCTGTGTGGGGCCAACAGTATGTCTGATGGATCAAAGGAAGGAGTGTTGCATCTTAAAGATATGGTTCTTCACCTCCTAGCCATCATGGTATGGTTCACTAGTCTTAAAAAACCCAAAATTGCAACCTCTCTGCTGCTGCATTTCCAGAAATCTTCATCCCTGCACATGTCATTCAAATTTCTAGAGAGATTGTGGCTATTTAGAGTTGAGGGACTTGTGGTCCTGCAGATGCAGATGCTGTTGAATTACAACTAGAATTCTTCACCATCGACCATGCAGGTTAGGCTACTAGTAATTCAGAAAAATCTGGAAGGCTATAGATTCCTTCTCTTTTGCTTGCAGTTATTTTAATGTACAGCACACATGTGTGCTGTACCTCGTCAGAATGCAAAGGGAAATGCCTCCTCTCTCAGCACTGGTGCCATACACTATAGATAAAATTAGATTCTGGATTTAATAATCTGATTTAACTAAGCAGACCCTGAATTACTAGTCCAAAATCCTGCCCTAATTGCACACCCATTGCTGATGTACAAGGTTATTATCAGGGAACTAGGGAACTATATGCCACAGAGACCGCCGTTTTTGTGCCCTCACTGTTGCCAAGGTGTATTTTGAACTCCTAATAACCTACTGTGGGACAATGAGACTTTGTAGCCTATATTTAATGAGAAAAACAAACAACATCCTGACTTCTACATTACTGGAAGGCAGGGTAGAAGATTGGTTTTTTTTTTAAAGATAAGTGACTGCAATAGAAAGCAACCAGCAGACAGGAAAGCAGAAAGGACAGAAATGCCAGGAAAAGCATGTGTGATTTCCCCATAATCGGAGACACTTTAGCAGGCTGCCAATAGCAATTACTCCACTGGAACAGAACCTATCTAGTGGAGAAGAGGATACAATCTGACCAGGTGGAAGACCTGCAAATAGCTGGTAAAGGAAGTTTGGGCAACCTTCCCCAGCTCAGCGCTAATATATTGCAAGCTTGCCCTTGACTTCGCTGGTGAAATACAGCATGGGAGATCTACCATAGACTGAAGATTTCCCCATCCGAATTTCCAGATGTTTTAGGACTGAGGCGTTCAGAATTTCCAAGCCAGACGCTGTCCCAATTCATCCAGCATGCTTAGCCTGGATGCAGAATAAAATCCATTTTTCTGTGCTTTCCCCAGTACATTGCACCACAAATTGAGCAAACGTTCTGGGTTCCCACAACACACCAAACCCGAATAATGCAGCATAACCAGGATTAGCAAATTGCGGAAACACCGCAGGGTGCGTTTATCTAACCCAAGGGTCCCCAAACTTGCCCCCTTTAAGACTTGTGCACTTCTCCAGCTGGAGAATTCTGGGAATTGAAGTCCACAAGTCTTCAAATGGCCAAGTTTGAAGACCTCTGATCTAACCTTTTTAAGTATATCGTGTGAACACAACCATCGAGGGGGCGCTAGGCTGGAGAAGCCCGCTCCACCCCGCTGGCCTTGAAAGCCAGATAGGCTCCATCGAGCCGTCCGGGCCGGGCAAACCGAGGGGCTGACAAAGCGGCCACGAAAGACGCGCTCCCGGCGGCGGCGGCAGCCCTCGCGGATTTCGAGCACGTGCGGAGCAAAGGAAACCTCCGTTCGCTCCAGCGCGGTAAGTTTTGAAGGTCAGCCCTTCGCAGCGAAGCCCTTTGTCTGAGCTGGCCGGGCCTGCCCGTGTCCCTTTGCGGCTTGCCTGCAGGCCCTCGTCTCCAACTCTCGCCACAGCCAGCGGGAGCGGCCAGCAGGGCCTGCGAGGCCGCCTGTGGCGCGGCGAGATGAAAGGCAGGCCGCTAATGTAAGAGCCGGTGGCCTCCCCAGTGCCGTTTGAACTGTTTACAGATCGAGTTAACTATTACAGGCCGTGTGTATCTTGGCCGCCTGCCCGAATTCTTCCGCGCCCGTCAGATATTATTAAACAACCCTTTCGATGCTCGCCTGGAGTTCTTCCAACACACCTCAGAGAGTTGCCGACACTCCAGGCGGAGCCTTTGGTTGGCACTCTTGTTCCCGAGGCCCAAACAAGAATCGCGGCCTCGGCCCCGGGGAGGCGGGGAGGGGGGATTTGGCTGGCTCGCGGCGGCGACTCAAAGGGAGAAGAAAACAGGGAGAGTCAGGCTTGGTAGACACGGAAAAAGCCCCAGGGTGGGCACAGAGCCTAAAGAGCACCCTCTCGCCTCAGCTCCCTGGGCAAGGTAAATGCCGTCTTAAACTACCGGCCCCGCGTCTGCAGGCGACTGTAGAGTTGAATGGGCCGCTAATGTGGCCGGACTATTTCCTGGGTGTGTGTGTGTGTGTGTGCAACAGGAGAGACACCTATGGAAGCCATGTTGAGGAAAGCCAGCAAATCCCCCTCAGCATTTCGGCTTTA